TGCTTGGGAATTGGTCATTCGGAGATTATTTCAAGGTAACAATTCTTCCACCCCACCTTTCTAAGTACCGAAGTCTTGATTGTGGGGTTTCTTACAGAAGGAAGTCATCACCTGGGCTTGGGAGCTTTTGACGGAAGTCTACGAGATCCCAGCTGATCGCCTTTATGTTTCGTACTTTGGTGGAGATACGAAGAGTGGTATCCCAGCTGACGAGGAGGCAAGGAGCATATGGCTCAGTCTAGGGTTTGTCGTTTAAGTTCCTTGACGAGATGAAAACGGTTCGAGTCGCTCTCGATTCAGGCTGCCGGATAATCGAATACTCCCATTTGGAATGAAGGACAACTTCTGGGAAATGGGTGATGTTGGACCGTGTGGCCCTTGCTCGGAGATCCATTTTGACAGGATCGGTGGGCGCGATGCTTCTCATCTGGTCAACGCAGACGACCCGATGGTTGTTGAGATCTGGAACCTGGTCTTTATACAGTTCAATAGGTATAAAACCCTCTAAAATTCGCTTCACTTTCCTTTTATTTTTGCATCCCTTTGGTCATTATTTGCGATGAGGTATACATTATGTTCTAGAGAAGAAAGCGGTGATCTGCGTCCTCTCCCTGCGAAACATATCGATTGCGGACTTGGTTTGGAGCGATTGATTGCTGTTATTCAAGAAAAGACATCCAATTATGACACTGACATGTTCCAACCTATCTTCAAAGCCATTCAAGAAGTAAGTGCCATCATCCATTCTTGCTCGTAGGCTTGTCCAACGTGGCCATGAGGTTAAAGTTTCGTGGTATCTTCGCTCACACTCAGCAGTAACTTTACAGTCCCGTTACACAGCTTTGTCTTTATTCAGGGAACTGGAACACGGCCTTATACCGGTAAAGTAGGAGCTGATGATGTTGACGGAATTGATATGGCTTATCGTGTTGTGGCTGACCACATTCGAACTCTGACAATTGCGCTATCCGATGGAGGTCGTCCTGATAATACCGGGAGAGGGTATGTTTGAGAAACTGAATTGATGGCAACTCTTTATCCTTTCCTTCTCAGGTACGTACTGCGCCGTGTCCTTCGAAGAGGTGTTCGTTATGCAACGGAGAAGCTTAATGCTCAACCTGAATTCTTCGCTTCTTTAGTTCCCGTTGTTATAGAGATTTTAGTAAGCACTTTGTTCGAATTCCAATGGTTTCAGCTGACTTGTTTCCAACGAGTCACCAAAATCTGATTTAGGGTGACACGTTCCCGGAGCTCCGCCGTGATCCCGAAACCGTTCGAGATATTATAAATGATGAAGAACAGCAGTTCTTGAAAACTTTGGTCCGTGGTCGCAGACTGTTCCAACGCGCCGTGGCTGGTCTAGGAGCTGATGAGAAGACATTCCCTGGTCAGTCTCAGTGAAATACGTCCAATAGACCTTTTTCTGCCAAGGCTACTTTCTAGGTGATGTGGCTTGGCGTTTATACGATACCTACGGATTTCCTGCTGACCTTACTCAACTGATGGCAGAAGAGAAAGGGTTAACCGTCGATCAGAAGGCTTTCGAGGAGTGCAGGAAGAAGGCAGTGGTACGTTAATAGGATAAGCCTTATTTGAAAGAAATCTTAGAGGAAAGATTCGTGAACACAGACAAAACGATCTAGGTCTTTCAAGAGCAAAATTTAAGAACGTTCTTGAAATGCTTGGTCCTATCGTGATTTTATAATTTCACCGAGCTATCTTTTTTTAGGAGTTATCAGCTGCTGGAGCTGGGAAGTTCCGCGACACGTTAGACCTGAACGTCCATGCCATTGCTGAGCTCCAAAAGCAATGT